ACACCGTTGGCGATGCCATCGCTCGAGCCAGGGCCTACTACCTCCTGTCTAGAAGTAACTATATGCACTTCAGCGAAGTTGGTGATTTTTCGGACGTATTCCTGAGCACCCGGCACGAGGGGGATGCCAGATTTGAACTCGGGAGACTCATGGAAGATATAACACTTCTCTATAGCCTCTTGAGCCGTACCTGATTCACAACCAGAGTGGTCGTTCGAGCGCAATTTCCAGAGTGCCGAAATTCCTCTGGTAGAGATGGGCTAGTCAGCTATCCATTAGCACGGTTAAGGGTAGTAGTACCTCCTTGAACCTCCCAGAAGCGGTACGTGAAGAAGTCTGAGACCCTCAAGTGTGTGCCGTAGACCCTATTGTGCCACTTAGTGTAAGTGGCCAAGTACTGCCCAAGGACCTCATCAAGGTCGCAGGCTACTACAGGCCGCTGGTGCTTAGCAGCAGCAGAGCTGACGATATGTAGAGTGCTACCTCCAGCCATGGAGATCTAATGATCTACCTGACGACAATAATAATTGCTTCAACGATTGTGCATGTGGGCGAGAAATTCCGTTTGTATGAACGATTACCACGCTTATAATCGTCCGTGCGCCAGAAGACCTTACCCATACATAATCGTCACAGTACCACAGGAAAGGATTCCTCCCGTAGTTAACTTTGTTGATTAAGCAATGTCGACTAATATCCCTGTCGTCGTTAAGTGGGGGAAGGCCACCTATAATATTGAGGTCAACACTGCGGAATCCGTGGCTGTTTTAAAGGTAGTATTCCACGCAAGCCGTGGTGCATTCGAGATGGAATTGAACCTGCGTCGCCTCCTTATGCTCGAGAGGTTTTACCGTCAGCGTGGATTCGCCTATTCAGACTCAGCTGGAGAACCTCACGAGTGTGCCGCATGACAAGCAGAAGATCATGGGCCTACCAGGCGGCCTGCTCAAGGACAGCGATGACCTCAGCAAGAAGATCACCAAGCCTAATCAGAAGATCACTCTATTAGGTCGGCCTCCTCCTCCGCTCTATAGTGGCAATATCATCTTGGATCGCCCCCCTCAGGGACTGCCGTGGCTCAGCAATTGAAAGCCCCGACCGCGAGCACCGTCTTCGTAGAGGACCTGTCGGACGAGGAAAGGAGGAAGGTTCTCAAGGTACTTCAGTTTGATTCGCCCCTTCGGCAAGGCACCAGCATGTGGTCAATCTGCCTTGCCGTGCTTCACTACGCTAATCGAGAATCCCTATGAGTAGTCTGATGTTTTTACGTTACCTCAGGAAAGGGAGGTCGAGACTCTACCTATTGGGTTGGTGAATCTGGGCAACTCCTGCTATATGAACGCCACCTTACAGGCCCTATATGCAGTTCCTCCTCTACGACAGGCACTGTTGAAGTAGTAGCAAAGGGATTAGTAGGCTCCTCAGTATAGTTGTGTACTCAGCTACGACAGTAGTGCTCATAGTGAAGGCAGCAACCAGGAGAGGAGCCTGAGCGCCTTGATACACCAGACCTTCAAGGACCTCGGCACTAAGGCTGATGCAGTCGAGCCCGCCAGCTTATTTATGCTCCTTCGAGTTATGTATCCCGAGACCTTCGGAAAGACAACGCAAGGAGGTACTTGGGCCGGTCGTCGTTGTCGTGGTCGTGGCAACACTACCGCGTGCTAGGTATTCCCCAACAGCAGGATGCCGACGAGTTCCTCCGGGCTCTCATGCTCAACCTCTCTGACACGGTCAAGACGCCTCACAGTAATGTTATCGATGATTTGTTTGGCTTCACAATGAAGACTCGCATGCGGTAATAGGACCATGTGCTTCACAAAGACCTGATGCTACTGCTACTACTAGGTGCCTGGAGGCTGAGGCAGAGCCGGAGTCTGTCTCGGAGGAGCGTCATCGAGTGTTGTTGTGCCACATGGGCACTCCTACTGACCCCGTAGGGCACCTCTACCAGGGAGTTCAGCTCAGTCTGAAGGAGACTATCACCAAGCAAGCTTCGGTAAGCTGCCTGTTGGTGAAAGAGGACCTCTGAGGATCTACAGGTCCTCGGTCGCGACGCTGAGTTCGAGAAGTCCTCGGCCATGGACTCCCTTCCGGAGTACCTTATAGTAGAGTTCGCCAGGTTCCAGTGGAAGGGAGAGAGCACTCAGCTGGTAGGCTCCACATCTCGTGGCGAGCGCGTTCAGTGGTCTCTGTAGGCACTCATGCTACTAGGACCAAGATCACTCGAAAGGTCACTTCCCGCAAGTGCTAGACGTGTACGATTTCTGCACGGAAGATGTGCGGAAGCAGCTCACTCGTGGACGACAACGCAGAAGGTAGTAGCACTGGCGATGAGGAGTTTCGTGATGCACAACTTCAGGGTTTACATGGACGAGCAGGAACGGAAGAGGATCCAAGCTAAAGAGGCTAATAGGAAGGACAGCGATGTCGAGATGGACGCCACTGAGGAGGACTCGAGCGTGGCACAGGTGAGAGAAGGATCTTGCTTACCGCTGTGATGGTTACTGTGATAGATACCCACGGGCAACTACAGGTGTGTATCAATAGTCTCCCATGAGGGACGATCGGCTGAGGGTGGACATTATATGGGCTGGGCTAAGTAATGCTACGTGCCTCTATACTGCTGAGAGTACTGGGGGCCTCTAGGTTCAAGGAGGCCGATGGTGACGTCTTCAAGGAGGACCAATGGGTTAGATTTAATGATGACAAGGTTACTCAGCATGATTGGAAGTAGCAGTACTCGAGATTGCTGATGCCGGAGTTGGACCATTGTAGGTATGTCGTGGACCAGTTGGTCGGTGGCCGAGCCGATACCCAAATAGCATACATTGTGATCTACCAGAAGGACAAGGTGCCTGATGGGTCTATTGAGGAGATCGTCGATGAGGAGATGGAGATGGAATCTAATCCCGACAAGAAGAAGGCCAAACAGTGATTGTCAGTGTGATAACAATAAACACAATTTTCCCACTATAAAGCGTCTTGTGTTGTCGCAACGGGGTTACCCGATCATCAATTCTCGAGTCGAGGACTTTGACACACGTAGCACTAAAAACCCTTTGTACGGGAGTGTGGGAAGGGGAAGAGCACACAACCCTCACACTATTGGCAGCTTAGGAGTTGGTGCTCTTCCATGTCTAACGATGGCTTAGATGTTGAGCAACTAAGATGCTAACCATCGAGCCGATGGTGCGTCACCATCGTCAGACATCTCCCGACCTAGGGAAAGAAAATAAAATTCATCTCCGCACATCGATGCGCCCACTCGCACGAGAAATCGCGATGAATGTTGATGCCTGTGAGGGTGGTGCGATCAATGCACTACAGCGCACGCAATACGATATCGATTAACCGCGAACACATTGCAGTTCACGCGTGCACTCCCTCCCTTCCTGTTTTTACTGTCGCTATGTCTCACTGCGCTCTCAGATTTGGCTGGCGGTATTCCTCCATCCTTTCTACCTAAGGGCCGATTTATCATTACTGCTGGAACGCAACTGTATACGGTGGATTCAGAAACATACATGCATTGGACGATTGAGCGACTCCGCACCAGAGTCGGCCACGGCCATGGCAACAGCTTTACTAAGGCTAGCTATGTCTAATGGGCTCAGTTGGGCCGACTCTTCTATTATCCTCGGTAGTAGGCTCCAGGCAAGGTCAGCAGCCTCAGGCCAGTGAGCGAGAGCCCACACAACGTTACAGCACTCACGCGTGGTGAAAGCAATTGTGATGAGATCAATGAGCTCCGACTGATCAGGACAGGGCAACTCCAGGACGCACAAACTCCACAAGTAGTTGGCGACGTTCTGCGACGTTCGCTGCTTCAACGGCTTCATCTTGACCCCACGCAGAGGGACCACTAGTCCTGCTTGCCGACATCGTGCCAATGCCCATAAGGTGTTCGTCACAGCTTGTGTTGAACTGAGTGAAACGGTCGATGCCCTGAGCGCAATCTTAGATATGCAGCACTGCACAGCTGCGTGGTAACCTTCGGTGGGCAGGAGAGGCAGGGACTTGGCGAGAGCCCAGGAGACCATACTGAGGTCCTGGGAGTTGAACTCATCCATTCTTGTTGTAGCTGATCTGACGAGGTAAGTCATCACGTCGTCATCAGTGAACTCAAGCTTCACAAAACCCCAGAAAACCGCGGCCAGTTGTTTGGGCTCGATGACACCACAGTGGGACAAGTCCATAGCAGTTACCCGCTTGGCGACAACAGCAAGAGTCGCCGTGCAT